GATTTATTTTTGGCGTTTTTTTTTTATTTAGATAGGACAGTAGGTCGACAGGAAGTGAAGTGGGTGAGAGAGAGGGGGGTGGGATCGGGAAAGGTCCGCGAGCCGGGACTCGAGGCCATCGGTGCCGACATCTTATATAATAATTTGACATTTTCTTATTATTAGCTTATTTGTTTATTGTGCTGCCATGGCATGGTATTTATATTTTCCTTTTTCATTTTAAATGTAATGTTTTAGTAATTTTGTTGTGTTCTTATCATTTTTAGAATTTAATATTTTAGAATTTTCAAACTAAATTTGAAATGGTGCCTTGGCAACTAGCTGAAATAAAGTTTAATATTTTATTTCAGTTATGTTTTTTTTTTTTTATGGTTTTGATTTCAGTTTTAGTTAACTGTAATAACCCTGGCGTTGAGGTCTTGATGACGTAACGGTCTTTATCATTGTTTCTCTTCTCATGATCTGTAGGTAAACACTGGATGTCTCTGCAGAGGTTGGCTCCTACAGTGGGTCAGTCTCTACTGGACGCTCAGAGACGGGAGAAGGACGAGGCAGACACTTTGACCGCCATGGCCTCTCTCACTGTGGACAACGATCAGCAAAAGACCTCCACAGAAACCAGCAGGTACTGCAACTCCACAACCTGTTGTCCGCTGTTATGTAGACTGTTTAATACATCATTTAGCCCTTCATTAACCGTTAACCAATCACTCCTTCCTCAGATCAGCAGAGGAGCCGATGGAGGAGGAGCCTGTGTTGTAGAAGAGCGAGTACAGTGCATCACTGCTCCAACCTTCTTGTCCACGCGTGCTTGGCACTAGTCACGCCTCATGTTCCTCCTCCCAGCTCTTTGATTGGTTCCCTCGGTCCTTCACTCATTTCCAGGTGCTTGACTGACACATTCACAGCCCACCCACTTTCGCTTTTCTGAGGTTAAAGCATAGCAAACTGTTGCCGAAAGGGGACGACAAGGCATGATGAGTAATTACAGGACCACTCCAGTGAGGGTTGCGCAGCTGGACCGGCCGAACAATGGAGTGCTCTTCAGAGAGAGGCCATTGATTTCATTTTCTCATTGTATTGGTCTGAGGACGTAAAGAAGAAAATGCAAAAAAAAAAATCTAAAGAAGAGGAGGAAGGGCAAAACAACACGACAGCACAGGGATGTTGTTGCTCAGAGGGCCGCAAAAAGCTTTGTTTTCTGTACAAAGTATAATGTACAAAGTTCCAAAAAAAGCCAACAAGCAGCAAAAATACTTCAGCACAAAACACACATACATATATATACATATATACACACACATATATATATATATAATATATATGTATATATATATATATATATATATATATATATATATATATATATAAGCATATATATGTAGGTTTGTGTGTACCGTATACACATCTGAATATACAAAAAATATATAAGTACTTTATATCCCCTATGGAACATTTTCTTATCAGCTGTGGTTGTACATACAGTAAAACAGCAGACTTTTATTTATCCAGAAGTGGAAGAACGGTGGTTAGCCTTTTTCCCAGAAGCATTTCTTTTCTCTCAGAGAAAACAGTACTTTTTTGGTGTATACGGCTTTGCTATTACATACTCGCACATAAACGTAAATAACGGCAACTCATCCGTTTTACGACAAAGGTGTAAAATACGAAGAGAGGATTTTCAAAGCGTCCATCTCGACCTTCGGTGGAGAACAAGGATTGGCGCATTGTGGTAATGTCTCAAGAAAGACTTTTTTTCCAAGAACTTGGTGCCTTTTATACTAAGGAAAACATTTGACAACACCAATACTTAACGAATCGAGAATCCTCAAGGAGGAGCCCGTGTTGTAGAAGAGCGAGTACAGTGCATCACTGCTCCAACCTTCTTGTCCACGCGTGCTTGGCACTAGTCACGCCTCATGTTCCTCCTCCCAGCTCTTTGATTGGTTCCCTCGGTCCTTCACTCATTTCCAGGTGCTTGACTGACACATTCACAGCCCACCCACTTTCGCTTTTCTGAGGTTAAAGCATAGCAAACTGTTGCCGAAAGGGGACGACAAGGCATGATGAGTAATTACAGGACCACTCCAGTGAGGGTTGCGCAGCTGGACCGGCCGAACAATGGAGTGCTCTTCAGAGAGAGGCCATTGATTTCATTTTCTCATTGTATTGGTCTGAGGACGTAAAGAAGAAAATGCAAAAAAAAAAATCTAAAGAAGAGGAGGAAGGGCAAAACAACACGACAGCACAGGGATGTTGTTGCTCAGAGGGCCGCAAAAAGCTTTGTTTTCTGTACAAAGTATAATGTACAAAGTTCCAAAAAAAGCCAACAAGCAGCAAAAATACTTCAGCACAAAACACACATATACACTCATTCACAAGCAACACGGTTCCCAAAAGAGGAACCTGCTGTGTCGAAACACCTTTTGCAGACAAGTATACTCGTTTACACTGTACCGTGTCGATTTTTGGGTATACTTGTTCATCTGTATAATAGCCTGTTATGAAAAGCACACAAACATACGAGAACTATAAGTATATAATATACATGAATATACATACATATATATATATATATATATATATAAGCATATATATGTAGGTTTGTGTGTACCGTATACACATCTGAATATACAAAAAATATATAAGTACTTTATATCCCCTATGGAACATTTTCTTATCAGCTGTGGTTGTACATACAGTAAAACAGCCTGCAGACTTTTATCCAGAAGTGGAAGAACGGTGGTTAGCCTTTTTCCCAGAAGCATTTCTTTTCTCTCAGAGAAAACAGTACTTTTTTGGTGTATACGGCTTTGCTATTACATACTCGCACATAAACGTAAATAACGGCAACTCATCCGTTTTACGACAAAGGTGTAAAATACGAAGAGAGGATTTTCAAAGCGTCCATCTCGACCTTCGGTGGAGAACAAGGATTGGCGCATTGTGGTAATGTCTCAAGAAAGACTTTTTTTCCAAGAACTTGGTGCCTTTTATACTAAGGAAAACATTTGACAACACCAATACTTAACGAATCGAGAATCCTCAAGACTTAACTTTCATTGATTTGTTTGTTTTTCAAATTGCCTTAATTTTTTCAAAGAAAACGAATTTTAGCCATGAACGACGGAGAGCACAAAATGATTATCATCCTCCTCCTGCCCCACTTTCTTTCCATTTCTTTCTTTTGTTTTCGTTTCTTGGGGGATGTAAATGTTGTGTTCTTGGTAAAAGGTTTTGATACTTTTTTTATTTTATTTTACTGTTAACAAAAGAACGAACGAAAGAAATTCAGCGATTGTTTTATTTCTCAGTCCTGTGCCCTAGACGAGCACATGACATGATTGTTTGGAAACACTGACGATGTTGTGACCAATTTGTTTAGCCTCACCTTCCTTTGTACAATTATTTGTTTGGCTCCCTTACGCTCTTTTATTTGAAACTTGTTTTATTTGACTTTATTTCCGTTGGCGAGAGTGTTGTCGGTGAGTTTTTTTTTTATTACGACATTTCCTTTTTTTGTACAAAAATGTAAAAGAAAACAAAAAAGTCTGTATCAGTGTTAATTTCGTCATTTGATTTGAAGTATTCTCTGATAAGGAATGTACAGCGTGGTACAGATATTATCAGTGATGTTGATTTATGTCACTGTGCAGTGCATTTGGCATTGTCCTTGTTCAGGATTTAACGATATTTTTTCCGGCAATAAGAGTGACTACCACTTTTTTTTGTTTAACACTAAAATACTCTGCAAACTTTTGGTTACATTTTCGTCATCTTTTAGTATAGCTTTTATGCTATGGCTACGGTTATTTTTCACAAGACTAATTAGTATTGTTCATAACCGTTGACAGTCGTCTAATAGCTGTATTCTGGTTAATCACTTGTGCACTTGTGGATGAAATGCAATGGCTTGTTTATGACCCTGAAATAACGACCCTTCATTACATTTTCACTGTGTGACAACAGCTTTTTGGGGGCCAAATTCGATTTAATCCGCTGCGTCTTTATTTAAGGTCACCCTCTTCCTTTAGCAGTGTCACAGAAGCAGCATTACTCGGTCTGAGAAGTGGCGACGTGTTTAATGGATAGTACTTTTTTAACGAGACCGAACCGGGCCTCGAGCATCTTGCACTAATAACTACACTGTAGGTCCGAACCTAATCACGTTTTTTTTTCTTACTTTCGGTTCTCAGACACTAATTAAGAGGCATTAAAAGCAGAGTGAATTATCTCAGCAAGCGACGTGTGAACTCCCGTCAGCGTTTTTCGTTTTGTACGTTCATTGATTCACCAACGTTGATGTTGAAACGTCAGAAATTTCGCTGCACATTTCTCGACTCTGCTCACTTTTGATTTATTTATTTGGAGTCAGAAATGACTGCTGAAAGTTGCTTTGCGTTGCGTTGCGTTGCGTTGCTTATGGATCGATGTTTGTCTCATTGTAAATCGATGAAAAATTACATCGTATCTCTTCGACGGCCTCATAGCCTTTGGGCAATAACTAACTTTTTTTAAAAGATATATTACAATAGCTAAAAGTGAACGGCCAGTTTTTTTCACAACAACAACAACAGTCGTCCGTTTGTTATGTCACCATCTGATAAAGTATTTATAGATGCTGTTTTTTCAACACTAACATCACCTTCAGCTGTTCATTCAGTCTTTAACCGTCTTTTGTCAGTCGTTATTATCATCAAGCGCATTGACTTGCTTTTCGCGCAAACTGCGGTTAAAGAGAAACAGGAAACACTTTGTGAAAAATCAGGCTGACACTAGCCTCTGTATTTAGATACTGTAATATACACTAAGAGAATTTCCCTCTTCGATGTGGCTATGGGATGTGCTGTCTGAATCAGGAACTACTGTGATCAGGTTTCGTAACGTTTGGATGTAGATCACCAACCATTTGTGCAGAGTTTTGTATTTTCACCTTATATGGCGTCAAACAGTTTATTGACCGTGCAGTTGGTGGTGAACGCTTTTACTCCTTTTCTTTTCCGTTCCTTTTATACTTTTCTGGATGAATCGGCTGACCCTGAGAAGTCCCTTTTTGAGACCTAAACCTTCTCTTTGGGTGCGATGGGTTGAGCAATGCATAGACAGGGGAAATGATCGCTCAGATGTAATACAGTACGACGCTTGGCTTTCTTAAACGAGGTGCTGAGGGAGACTGTTCATTTTCAGTGGACGTTTTCCAAAGGGTCCTCTTTCGCAACGACAAAGAAAACCATGTCAGCGGCGTGAACAGGGCCTTATGATGGACACCGGGAAACCTCTGTATGTGTAAAAGACATTGACATTCGCCGTGGAAGATAGCTTTACTGTCTCTGCCACATATTTTGCTATTGGGTAAATATGTATATTTATTGATAATTCATATGTTGTGTATATGTAGTGACCTATGATCGTCGAGGTTCAAAGAGTGCTTGTATATTTTTTGACTTTTTTTCACTGTCTCTTCATTTCTTTGCTGTTCTACATCACTTGTTGTGATTGGGTGTTTCAATTTGTGAGATCTTTTAACCTTGGATTTTTAAGATCTTTTTTTTTCTCTCTCGCTCTCGACTCTCTCCTCTCTTTCTTGTCTATCTTCTGGTCATATTGATATGCAGAAGTTATCTGAAATGATCAGAAATGGACAGCACCTGAGTTAAATATATGAGTGTCACAGCATACTGAATGAATGAATGAATACTTAGGACCATGTGATATTTCAGTTTTTCTTTTTTAATAAATCTGCAAAAATGTCAACAATTCTGTGTTTTTCTGTCAATATGGGGTGCTGTGTGTACATTAATGAGGAAAAAAAATTTACTTAAATGATTTTAGCAAATGGCTGCAATATAACAAAGAGTGAAAAATTTAAGGGGGTCTGAATACTTTCCGTACCCACTGTATGTGTACACATGTGCAATACACGCTATTTGAGCAATCTATTACTGTGACTATTAATCATTAAAAATTGCTGTCCCTTTGAATCCTGCTGTTTGTTTGTTTGTTTGTTTGTGTGTTTTTCCCAATTTGTTAAAATACAGCTCAACATATACAGGGAAACATTGGAGCCAGTGGCGATACAGATACAAGACATTTTCTTTTCGTTTTATCTTCCTGCAATATTGTCTGTGTATGC